ACACTTGCTTAAACTTCTAACGTCTCCACGCAAAATTATCAGAGTTTTGTTAATCCTTAGCATGCTCACTTCTTCCAGCTTTTTGTGATTCCTTGAAAAGCTTAAATATTTGATCATGTTCACATGTGAAGTACTAAACTTTCTGGCTGAAACTTTTTCATGTTGCCCACTTTCTTGTAACAGCATTAAACAGTTTTATTGCCAATTCTAATTCCATGCTCATTTTTTGTATTTTGGATATTCATGCAACACTAAGGGCTAGCTTACCTTAATTTTGGATTTGTTCATTGGATTTAAATATTTTCACAAAGCTTACTTAAGGACTATCTGTGCTAGCTGTTCATAATTTTAAACAATAGACTAAAACTGTGAGGCATACCCACCAAGGTGGGCACTGAAAGTTAATAGGTGTGCACAGTTACGACTATAAGAACATATAAATTATATGTGAAAGTACAAACTTAAAAATTAAGTAGTTTTTAAGACTATTGTGCAAATATTACTACTATTAAGTTATACAATAACAACAATTAACACGAGAAAATGACATATACAGTATATACAAAGACAGGTTATAAGGGAAGAGGAAACAAAACACATTTAAAAAGTGGGCACCATAAAAAAGTTTACCTACCACTACATTAGTGGGTTTGTTTTGTTTGGAATTTGAGCAAAGCTACACAAGATCTATCTGCGCTAGCCATCCCTAATTTAGCAGTGAAAGACTAGAGGGAAGGCAGCTAGTGGTCATAGCCCACAGCTAACTCTTGGGCTACTCTTTTACCAACAAATAGTGGGATTGACCATCACATTATAATGCCCCCACAGCTTAAAGGGGGAGCATGTTTGGCGGGATGGCGATTCGAACCTGCGACCCTCAGATTGTGAGTCAAGTGCCCTAACCACCTGGCCATGCCAGGCCCACATCAGTGGGAAGTCACCTTGTGAAATTACATCGTGACATGTTTACAAAGAAACTAATTCCTATGTTTGTTTTTTAGTAACTGTAAAGTAATATGTGGACATAATATAGAGAGAAACAAGACAAAAGTGACAGTCAGCATTTTGCTGATAGTGGTTGGAGGTTTTCATAGCAAAATTTAGTTCATTTGTTTTTCTTGTTGGACTCAAACTTTTGCCTAGTATTGTACACTATTTCAAAGCAGCTGAAATCAAACTGCAGCTATATGTATACCTTAAACTTCATTACTTTGAGAATTATTTTCCACAGTAACAATGTGAAATATAACAAATAAGAATAAAACACATATTAAAGGATTTCAAAACAGTATTAACTATAAGTTTTTAACAGTGATTGCTTAAATAAATCTCTGAATGGTCAGAATAGTGAAAGTTAATAAACATATTGATATGGAATACATAAACACAAGAAGCAATATATACACAGAACATGATAAATTTTTTTTAATAATCCTTCACATAGATTCCTTAAATTTGTTGTGTTTTTTTTTTTCATAACCTAGTTCTGTAAAAGTTTTAATAGTATGGATAATGCCAGTGTTTTTGAGATATAAAAATAGAATTATTTTGGATTTATAAAACTTCAAATTTCAGAAATTAGAAATATAAGCCTACACTACATTAGAAAAAATAATTGTTTTAAGAAAAATATTAATATGTAAATTTTCTATTGTTTAATATATTTTCTCTTTTCGCTGTGTTTTTGATTTTCTATTTGAAACTCATGCACACCAGTTGGTTAGCTTTGTTACCATTATGTTCCTTTTTTCTAGCCTTTAAGGTGGTCAATTATGTGATATTTTGTTAATAAAGTCTAAAACCTTGAAACAGACAGAACATTTTCCCTTTATCCACATGGAGCACATCTTTCACATAATCTTTGGGAGAAATACAGAAACTAAACAAATTTCAATGGAAGCAAATGCTGCACTCACACAAGACAGAAAAGTCTCAATATAAACCAAAACACAACTGACAGCTTTAGTTTAATACCAGTTTACGATTTTTGATCTTACTGATTTACTTTGAAACTGAAGTTAAAAAATATATCATACTTATTTTAACAAACTTTGATTAAAACTGGACATAGGTAACTAATTTTTTAGAGGAGTTTGTACAGACTGAATATTCTGTTAAAGATACCTTTGTCAAAACCTTAAAACAAACACAATTTAATGATGATGTTCATTGTACTAGTTATGATATCAAGTCATTGTTTACAAATATACCTTTAGACAAAACAACTGATCTTTCTTCTAATCTTGTTTGCCGAGAATGAAATTGAATAGGGTATAACTAAAGATGTTTTTAAAATACTAACATTTTATGAGAAAATTTAATTTTATGCTTAATGATAAAATCTATTAAGAGATTGATGGAGTGACTATGGGCTCCAGCCTTGGCCCTGACCTTACTAATCTTTTCCAGTGCTTCTGTTAAAAAGTTTGGTCACAGTTCTGAATGTTTTAAGCCTGTGTATTACAAGAAGTGTTGATGAAACTTCTGTGGTGTTTAACATTGTTGAGTCATTTGACAATTTTTTTCCATTTCTTTTAACTCTCTCAACACAGGTTAAGTCATTTTGACTAACCTTGCAACCACCATGTAGCCATGAAAGTATCTGTAGTATAACTTTTAATGTTGAAAATGTATCTTCACAAAATTTAGCAACCTTTTGGTAAACATTACAAGTCTTTTGTACACAAAAAATTAGGTTTTTTAGTTACATATCTTTACTAAAGGTTTGTCCAGAAATATATGAAATTAGAGCATTGACTGGTCTGAGTGCAAAGTGATTTTTCATGTTAAGATTAAAAATACTTTTTTCATCTTTAGTTTTCAAATTTCATTTGCATAACCTCTAATACTTCCTTAATGAATATCAAGATTTTTTCAATAAAACTTAATATTTTATCCGTTACTTTCTCTACCATAATGTTATACAGACTCGGTTGATTTTACTGACCTTGTAACCACCACAAAAATTATGAAATAAATCAAAATTACTCTTCTTTCCTTCTAAAATGACTGTAGATTGTAACAGAAAATTATTTATCTTAAATATCTTACGACTCATAATGATAACATCTGTTTCTACTTAATTTTATTGTTGTATTTCTCTTTGAACAATTTCAAACTAATAACCCCATGATACAAGCTGAAAATCACATAGCTAAAATTACTGTATTGAATGACAATGTACAAGCTACTCACAGTCATACCTGGAAGAAATTTTCTTATCATTATAATCATTTTTTTTCATTATCATCATTTGTTAAATTAAAAACTCTGTCTTTCTATTGGTTATAAAAGATATAATAGCAAAGGTCACAGAGAATTTATAGCAATTTGTGCAGAAAAGGATGTGATAGGTGTGCATGGCAAGTGGGTCTGATTTTTTGGTTTATATCTCTGTCAACAAAGAAAATTGAAGGCTATAAAAAATTGACTATGCCTATACCTATACCATAATGAGTAATTTATGTTAAACTCAGAACATCAGAGAGGGGTGATGAAAAAATAGAAAATGGGCAATTTAGAGGGAAGAAATGTCATGATACACATACAAGTGGAGATTAAGAACTTATTTACACATTTCTTTTTTATATTAAGAAATTAAAACTTCTGTAATATTAGAACTTGATTTATTAACTATGTTTTGATGCCAAGTTTATTCATATATTCTGATAATAAAGCAGTTTGATTAGATTTTGAATGTAATTCTGTAAAAGATCACTACATACATAATTAGACCTACCCATATTGAGAGGGTTAAATGGTAAGCACATCAATATAAGGTTTCCTGTTGAAAATCAATAGAATAACAAACTTCAAATTCTAGATGTTCATGTCTTAAATAACCAGGCTATACTTACCACTAAAGCATATCATAAACCCATTTTTATTGGACTTTATTCATAAACCCATTTTTATTGAACTTTATTCATAAACCCATTTTTATTGAACTTTATTCATAAACCCATTTTTATTGAACTTTATTCATAAACCCATTTTTATTGAACTTTATTCACAAACTTTATTCATAAACCCATTTTTATTGGACTTTATTCACATTTTGAAACTTTCCCTCCTTAAATCTTTAAAGCCTGCTATACAGAGCATTTAAAATATCACGAAGGAAATCAAAACATTTGTGAACCAGAAATCAAAAACATTAAACAAATGCTTACTAGAAATTGTTTTCCCATTCTCATTCCTAAATAGAATAATCCACATAAAAACTAAATACCCCATCTGTTTTTATGTTAGATATTCTAAACAAAACTGTTACTTTAGTCATACCAAGGTCCATACAGACACAAGTTGAAAAAATTCCAGGAGATATACAGACCCTGTCGTACCCTACTTAGGCACTATTTCATACATGATTAAGAAGGAAATTATTAAACAGCTATATTCAGAAGTTAAGTTAAAATGTGTATTTAAAACAAAGTCTAAGCTAAAAGGCTCTTCAACTTTAAAGACAAATAACAACCAGTGAAAACTTCGTCAGTGGTATACGAGTTCATGTTCCTGAGGTGCAATCAGGGATATATGGGTTCAATCACAAAAAGGCTTTGCAGTCAAGTAAACTAACAACACTGTTATGCTAAAATCTACAAAACTAATAGCATTACCAACCAGTGTCTAAGTAAATGTGGTGTTGCACCTACTTCCAGTTTCTTCTGTATCAATCTTTCATTCATGGACAGAATTCAAACTTATGGTGCTAGAATCACTTGCCATTAAGCTAAAAAAAAAACCAGCTCTTAACCAAAAGATAAGCACTCTATCACTAAATCTTCAACTGTGAAAATGTAAGAAAGAACAGCATGTAACCTTTGACCACTGTTATGACTTATGCAAATGTAACTTATCAAGTTCTGTAACTTGAGACAAATAACACTAGCCCTTTGAAAAAACCTAATTTAGTCATTTACCCTTATAATTATACCACTGACATGGCTTTCCTGCATTTTATTTTGTCAAGTATTAGGTAAACATTAATATACAAATAATAAAACTTGTATAGTATTGAATAAAATCTATCAAAATACCTTGACACATGATACCACTATGGTTATCATCAAAACGACTCTCATAGCCCAAACGACAGTGACAATAATACCATCCAGGCATGTTGATACATTCTGAGTTTGGATGACAGTGATGAATGCTTAATTTACATTCATCAATATCTATAAAAGGAGAAAATTAAATATAATTAATAATCTATTTACCCAGAAATATTTTTAAGGATAATATCCTTGTAATTTCATTTCAGCTTAAAAAATTCCAATTGTAGCCAAACTATAATCTTCATGGCTTGTAAAATCTTGTCTTGAAAGAGTTATGATCTGGTGAAAGCTTACTCTTAAGACTTTACATAATTCTCTCTACATATAGAAGTTTATTCTTAAAAAAATATAAATATAATCAGTTCCACTGCTACAACATAGCAGAGACAGTCTCATTAATATTTCTATCAATATATCAGAGATAGTCTCATTAATATTTCTCTAAACTCGTGCACCCTTACATATACATATATAGAGTATATCATCAAAAAGTTGCACGTACAGCACAGCTATATCACATTTATCACTGGTTTACCTAATAATAATATCAATGAAAGTCAAAATCTCATGATGTCAAAGTTTTTGTTCAACCAGTAAATTGACTCAACTTTAAATGTCATTAATACAATTTTATTTAATTCCTTACACAGAATGTTGGAAATTGCATTTCTAGTCATAAATTCTATTTCCTTCAATCAAGCCACCACATTTCACTCTGTGGTCTAGGTTTCTTCCAATACACTGGTAATAAATTTTCAGGGAAAATATAAACATTTTTTTGCCAAAAAAAAAGCAATAAAGATTTGTAAGTGATTCTGTATCTTGTGAGAAGTTGAAATTTCTAACCATTTTATGTTTTATAAATGTTTAGTAAAATGTTTTTATACTTAACTTTTGACAGCATAACTGATAAACATAACTTTTTTCCATGCTAACGTGGTATTTTCTTAAAACCTTTCTTTTTTCTCCCTCTAAACTCACCTAATTCACAACTTGGTCCAGTGTAACCTTGACGGCAGGAACAAATGTCTGGTGCTACACATAGGCCACCATTCAAACAAGATTGGTTGCATATAGCTAGATGTAAAAATTTCAGAAAAAAAAGCTGTAAAATACTTGAATATGGTTAAAGGTAAAAAATTACCACTGAAATGTCAGAACTTTCAGCTAACTTGAAACTTCATATAAATATTCAATTTAACCAAATTAATTTTGACAAAATACTTTCCCATACTAATTTTGCACTTAAAATTGGAAGAATTTTTTTTTAAAAAACTTAACCTAAGTCTTATAATAAGAATCGTTAAAGATTAGCTAAAAAAAAAGAAACCACAAAGAAATATAAAAAAATTTAATCTTTTAAGTTTTAAGTAGTATACATGTAATTTTAAAATTGCCTTTAAAGTAAATAAAATATTTTAACACTATATTTTAGTATCTTGTCTTACTATCTGTGTGAGTCCACGTTTTTTTTTGTTGTCACCATTCACAATTCTGACTCTCCAATTCTACCAACTACTGCTACTGTTTTTTTTTTATTTTTGTTTGTTTTTATATAACTCCAAAACAGTTTAGTTCTGAAATGTCACTTTCTATTTTGTGCTTAAAAAAGTTATACTTTATATTGAAAACTTACGTTCACATGAATGTCCATTTCCACTATAACCTTCTAGACACTGACATTTGTAATTTCCAACAGTGTTAATGCAAAAAGCATTTGCACCACAGTCATGCTCACCAGTAAGACATTCATTATGTTCTGAAAGAAAAAAAAAGTCAATAAATTCTTTAAGTACTGAGTTAGTTACCATAACACAATTCACTTGGGAATCCATGCTGGGGAACTCAATTTAATAAGCTTTAAGGATATTTTTCATCAAAAATGTTTCTATAAAAATGGTAAAAATGCAAGTACTAAAATTAACACATTTATTGGCTATTTTCTTCCAAATTTGTTTTAAATAAAACTGACTTCATCAATAGTGGCTAAATGAATGCACTATTTGTCATTAGCGATTCTTTGGGTGTATGTCAGGGCTAGGTTTTTGAAAACGAGTTTTTGACATAACATTTTATATTTTCTAAATAAGAGAATAACAAAAAGATGACAATGGTGACCCATTTTCCTTGGATTGAATGCCAGTCCATTAAAGGTTAGCTGTCAGTACCTATTTTGCAGCTGATTAGACTGAAAATTATGGAATTTTGTGTTTTACTTAAAACATAATGATTAGTCAAGAACAATCCTCAAACTCACAATACTTCAATTATGAATTTAAAGCACTAACCACTAGCTAGGCCTTGTCATTCTCATATATTTATATATTTTATTTTATAGTAGTACCAAAATTTAAAAGACTTTCTGTAGACTTCTTTCAAAGTAATTAGAACCTACATTAACAAAGAGCTTATTTCAAAGTGTAAAACCATGCTTCACCCTCTACCAGAAACACTGAAAAGAAAAATATTTTCAGTTTCAGATCTCCAGAAGTGAAATACACATAAGTTTATATTTACATCACGTGTCCCATACTTACCTTCACAATAATATGCATCAACCCTCCTGTAACCCGGCAGACATTCACAAGCATATGTGCCAGGCAAATTAACACACTGAGTATTCTCACGGCAATGATGACCTGTGTGACCCCCTTTCTGAAGGCATTCATTCACATCTGAAGATGAATATGTACAAATATATGGTGATTTAAAACCAAATTTTACCTCTATCTACTTGTACAAACATAGAATTTAAAAACACATCATTATATATATACACCTGGAAAAAAGTTAAGCACCTCCAAATATTTTTCAGGATTGCTTATTGAAAATAAGGTTTAATTTTCATGATGTTCAGCAATGTTCATAATTTCAAACATAATTAAAAGGATGTGAGCGTTCAGGTGTGACATTTAAATCAGGTGCGTTTTTTTCCCCACGTGCAACTTGCTCCCTTCTTCACGTCCAATATGCACTATTTTTCTCGTGCATCAAATCCGTATTTAAGTCCTGAATTTCTGAATGCAAAATCATTTTAAGTAAGAATGGCAAGAAGACGGATATC